CAGGCTTTGGAACGGTAGTTTTTGCGCATTTTCTACACTTTCTGAAAATATGACAACAGATTTCGCCCCATCTCGTCAGTAACTGACGTGACGGGGTTACCCGGCGCGTCAAAATCGGACGTACAGGGAACCTTGGAAAACYTCAATATGTGACGACATGGGAGTGAGAATGGGTTGTGTAATGCTAAGGTCTGTAGACATATATCCAATGATTACTTTCTGAGAGTTTCATTAAAATCTGACAGTTCATGAGTTATTTTGCTAACAGACAGAAGTCAATTGAGCACACACTGCAAACACAGAACTTTCTATGAAGGGTRGGAAATAAATCTTTGTCTGAAACAGGATCATTTATTGTTTGATAAGCAGTGAAACAACTCAGACACGTTTTAATTGTAGTGTGTAAATGGTAGTTCAGTGTTTTAGTTCTCCAATGCATTTTTTTAATCTAATTTCTCCTCATGTTTTGAGAGTCAAAAGCTAATAACCTCTGGTCTCTGATTAGATTCGGTTTCTGGTTCACCCTTGAAARTAAACAGCCATTTTGTCTGTCTCAGATAAAAACCAATTACCAAGTTTAATTTGAAACCTTCAGATAAACATTAAATAAAATGTTTGATTGAACAACTGATGTGAGAATGTCGGGTGTTTCTTTGTCGGCCCCCAGCGTGGTCGCATCCTGGTGTCACTGTGCTACAACACAGAGAAGGGCTGCCTGCTGGTTGGGATCATCCGCTGCGCCCACCTGGCCGCCATGGACTCCAACGGCTACTCAGACCCCTTCGTAAAAATGTAAGTCCCGTTTAATAAGCTCTGCTCAGAACCTGTTGAAGAGTCAAGGAATGGTTGAAATTTACACTCAACGGCTACTTTATTAAGTASACCTTGCTAGTACTAGGTTGGACCCWCCTTTGCCTTCATGGCATAGATTCAACAAGGTACTGGAAACATTCCTCAGAGTCTGGTCCATACTGGCATGATAGCATCATGAAGTTGCTGCAGATTTGTCAGCTGCACATCCATGATGTGAATCTCCTGTTCCACCACACCTCAAAGATTGAGATCTGGTGACTGTAGAGCCATTTAAGTTCAGTGAACTCATTGTTGTGTTTAAGAAACCAGTCTGAGATGATTCAGTTTATGACATGGAGCATTATCCTGCTGGAAGTAGCCGTCAGAAGATGGTACACTGTGGTCATAAAGGGATGGACATGGTCAGAAACAATACTAGGTTACTATACTATAAGTAGGCTGTGGTGTTGACACAATGCTCAATTGGTACTAATGGGCCCAAAGTGTGCCAGGAAAATACCCGCACACCACTGCACCACCAGCAGCCTGAACCATTGATCCAAGGCAGGATGGATCCATGATTTCATGTTGTTGACGCCAAATTCTGACCCTACCATCCGAATGTGGCAGCAGAAATCAAGACTCATCACACACAGGTGAGCCTTTGTGAATTGTAGCCTCAGTTTCCTGTTCTTAGCTGAAAGGAGTGGCACCTGGTGTGGTCTTCTGCTGCTGWAGCCCATCTGCCTCAAGGTTGGACATGTTGTGTGTTCAGAGATGCTCTTCTGCAGACCTCGGTTGTAACGAGTGGTTATTTGAGTTACTGTTGCCGTTCTATCAGCTCAAACCAGTCTGGCCAGTCTCCTTGGACCTCTGACATCAACAAGGCATTTGTGCCCACAGAACTGCCGCTCACTGGATATTTTTTCTTTTTCGGACCATTCTCTGTAAACCCTAGAGATGGTTGTGSGTGAAAATCCCAGTAGATCAGCAGTTTCTGAAATACTCAGACCAGCCCGTCTGGCACCAACAACCATGCCACYTTCAAAGGCACTCAAATCACCTTTCTTATCCATTCTGACGCTCAGTTTGAACTGCAGCAGATCGTCTTGGCTATGTCTACACGCCTAAATGCATTGAGTTGCTGTAATATGATTGGCTGATGCGACATTTGCGTTAATGAGCAGTTGGATGGATGTACCTAATACAMTGCTCAATGAGTGTAGGTTTTCAAGTAGACTGGTTAATTTACTTGTTTAGGCCTACGTCAGATTCTTAATCAGTTTGAAATGCACCAATATGAGCTTAAAACGCAGCAGAGCTGTTTGTACAGATGCTTTTTATTTTAATGGTGGAGCTTGTTCAGAAATGTTTAAGAAGTTCTTCTTTAAAAACCTAATGAGTGGAAGCGGAATTGCAAATTAGCCATTGCCTAAATGTATTTTTTTTCAATGTAACATTATTTTATAGTACTGGGTCTATCCAAACAAACTCAAACAGAAATGATTCACATAAATTTCTGSTTTAAAGAACAACAAAAAGAGGCTTATTACGAGGCAGAATGTATGGAACAGCAGATGGTTCTACATTCATATTCCAACAAAACAAAACTACACTCTTCTTCCTTTTTTAATATTGCTCTTTCAACCTGTGGTTAATGGCTTTTTTCGTTCATTTTTATATGTGCTAACAGGCAAAGGCAGAAAATATTATTTTTTACAAGTGTTTTTGTCTGATACTAAAGGATCTCATGAATCACTGGATGGATTTTAACAAAACTAGCAGATTGGAGTCTTTGGATTTTCATCCACAGCTGATTAAGTTTTTTGAGTCAGCAGTTTTCAAGATGGATGCCAAAGCCAACTTGAAATGGAAAACACAAAAAAGCTACACCTCAGTCAGATTTGTAGATATTGGGCTAAAATTTAATATTGTAGTTTCTGAGAATCARCCTCAACACATACTWGTGACATTACATCTCCCAATATGTCCCAATGTTTATATCAAGGACACTTGGTCAGTTTTCTTAAAGTCTTTTATTTAAGGTCAGCAACTAAACCATCTAAATTGGAAAGGTACACAACTTGGCATGAACTGCAGGGAAATAAAAATAAACACAGAGTATATAAGTTAGAAAATTGGGCAAAACAGAACCCCTGGTTTCCATAAATGTAAAACAGCCATCTGGAGACTGGGCTGCTTTGGACAAATTAAAGGGTTTGAGTGGGTTTCAGTGAAAATAACACTTTTATTTCACACAAGTTTTACTCTTAAAGCTGCCTAACAGGCTTGAGTTTGTCCCACTTAACATAAGTATCACACACTGGTAAACACTTGCATCAGAGATATTCTAAAGTTTTATTTTAAAATGTGAACCTAACCAACGTCACAATGACTTATATAGCCCGACCACGGAGCCTTTAAAGCCTGAATGGTGACAGATAAAAATCCCACACAACTCACCCTCTGATCTGTCTGCTGTACCTAAAACTAAACAGCACAGTAAGAAGGAGCTCCCACTCAGGACAGCTTCTCCTGAAACAAACGTCACCMTCATGAGTGGGAGGCTTCAAGGTTCTGCAGGGGAAACAACACTTTGCTCAAAGTCCTACGGAAAAAGTTTGCAGGGCTCTGAAGTACTTTTTGCTGTCTTTGTTTATTCCCACCCCACACAGTGAAAAACAGTCGTCTTTTATTGAGTGAAAATAAAATTTCTTGACTCTTTAATTTTGACCCAGATGGTGTTTATTTTTGGCCTAAAGTTGATGGTTCCTTCCTTTGTGAGCTTAACAGGTTTAAAGCCGAAGCATTTTTTTTTCCTTGCCAAGCAAATCTGTATTTCTGTCAATCAAAAATACATTTACTTGGCTGCTGTGCTCTTTATTTTTTCATCTTTGTTTATATTTATTTTCCGTAATCTGGAGTATTGATAGGAGAGAGACATAACTAATTAAGGTGTGCATCAGGCAGCACTGCTGCGTGTTTCTGATGCAGATCTCTAAGATGAGCGAAAATAAAATCTTTCCTGTGAGCCTCCTCTGCACCATCGTCTGCAGAGATCTGTGGAAATGTTTGCATGTGTGTTTGCAGAGGTGCAGCTTCAAACAAATGATGAGGGGAARGATTCAGTCTATATATACTTTGTGTGTGAATAATGTCTGTGAACTTGGATATGCCACTTTTAATTTATTTACCTGGGCTAATTTTTGCACCCACATATTCTTTGGTAACTATTTATTTGAAGGCGTGWGCATATGACTGACATGACAGTGTCATAAACACCTGTCATGAACATGAAGGAGGCTTTATYAATGTTTAATACTGTTGTCATTAAGTGCCATTCGGTAAATTATGACACATTTAATGCAAKGTTGACATTGTTTAAAATGTCTTGGTTATGACTTGACATTAACCAAGAAATATGATGTGATAAAATCACAWGACTCTGTAAATACAATAAAACATGTCTTGACATTTCCACATCAGTATATATACTATAACATAACAATGTCAAGTTGTCAATAATATATTTTTGTCTCCTTCAAATAAAGTGTTGCCTATTTTTAAAGTCAGCCTGGGGAGTTGAGCRAGCAACCATCCAATGACAGGCTTCTCTAACCTCTGCGCCACCGCTCCCCATGTGTTGCTGTGGCGTAGTAGGGCTTCTGACCTGGGACCAGAAGGTTGTACTTTCAATTCCCRGCCATGACCGTATGTTGTGATGTCCTTGAGCAAGACACCTAATTTCCAACTGCTCCCGAGGTGCTTCTATAGCTGCCCGCTGCTCCACTTYGGTATGTATCACATGTGTGATGGGTTAAATGCAGAGGACTAATTTCATCATTGTATGAGAACACACAATGACGACAAAACTTAGCACAGAAAGCAAGGAAATTTGCATTTGGTCGATTGTTTCTTTGTCGTAACAATGTTTCATCGCAACAAATCTTATGATTGACGCCTGATTGGCAGCACCTGGGGGGACAACAAGTTCAAAATAAATGTCAGTAGCAACAGCAAAATAATCTGTTTAGCAGAGAAGATTTAGCTAATTTTTCATGTACTCAACCCACATGCTCAGCTCTCAGATCTCCATTTCTCCAGCATTCTCCTTAGATCGTACAGGCAGGTGGTGCATTTTAGAAGAAAAAGTGGCAGATAAAACACAAAGCAGCTCTTAAAGAAACCAGCCTCAGTCTTTATTTTACCTGTTTTGTAGTGTTTATAAGGAGAGGAAGRACAAAGTAAAAACTACACTGTAAAAAATGAAATGTTGGATTTACTTAACCATATTATGTTACCTGGTTCCACTTAACTGAGTTGAGTAAATTCAAAGCAATATACCAGTTTTTTAGCCAAAGAATGTGAGTATGTTACTTTGAATTTACTCAACTCATTTAAGTGGAACCAGGTAACATGGTTAAGTAAATCCAACATTTCATTTTTAGAGTGTACAGGGATTATTTTAAAAGCTCTGACTATTTTTTGTGACAGTCAAAGGTGAGAATGATCTAAAAGCTGATTTGTCTTCCATTGAAGTGGACAAACGTGCCCACAGACCTCATCCTAACTGCTCACACGTCTGAAATATGTAAAAACCATCTTTAACCTTCCAGAGAAAAGACATCAAAAGTGCAAGTTATGTTCAGAAATTTCCTGCTGACCAAGCATTGTTTTTATCTCTCTTCTTCTCTCTGAACTTTTGTGAAGTATAAATCATGAATCCCCCCCCCCGCACCCTCTCCGAACAGTTCCCCATCCCTGGAGCAGGCATATATTTAGCTCCTGCCTTCTGATTGTTATTCGTTTCTCTTGATCACTTTTTTTTCTTCTTCTGTTGTTGCTGCTGCTTGTTGTAAGTTATTCTGTTCCTGATTTTTAACACRGGCTCTTTCTCCCCTGGCTCTTCCTGTCACTTTCCACAGAGCTGCCCTCATTCCTCAGTTTTTTTTTCTTCTTCTGTCTTACTGCTGTCATGGGTTTTATAGCTGCAAAATTCT